TTCAAATCAACTGTGGAGTGGGCATCGGGTTTAAAGCTCCCATCTATTCCTCTTATTTTATCCATGCTGAGGGGTTTGTCCATGGGCCATTTGGCCACTCAAAAGTGCATAGATGAAGGAGGAATCTTGCCATTGCTTCATGCTTTGGAGGGTGTCTCAGGTGAAAATGAGATTGGAGCCAGGGCTGAAAACTTGTTGGACACACTTTCTGATAAGGAGGGAAAAGGTGATGGGTTCTTAGCCGAGAAAGTTCACCAACTACGTCATGCAACGCGGGATGAGATGAGGCGACGAGCATTGAGGAAGAGAACAGAATTGCTGCAGGTTCCTTGTCATACTACTTGCACTTCGCTCCACTATGCTGTTTGTTAATGTCCTTTGCGTCTTCATCTTTGTCTTGGCTTAATACTTTTGATCTGTTGCTTAGTAATGATAAAAGACTACCATTTTCATCTGAAGCATATTTTATGGTCAAATCTTCCCAGCAAAATGGCATATCAATAGCCTCCTCTTTGGTTTGAAAGCGTCTTCCAGGAAAATTGCATATCAATAGTCTCCTCTTTGGCATCAAAGCATTTCCCCGCACTAGAGATCCGAGGGGAATAGACATAACAGGAGTAATACTTAGAATATATCTAAGTACCTGAAACATGTTACTAAATATATGTTTAAACTGGGAGATATAAGTTCAGTTTTTTTATGTAAGAACTGAGAAAGATAATTGAGATGCTGCAGAGATAGTAGAGAAGCTTAGCAACAGTATCTATCTTTTAGGAAGCAATTGAAGTTGAACCTAGGACTCCTTCAACGTGCATAGGCAGTTCATATTGTTATATGCAGATGCTCAAACAGAGAATAGTTCTGTGGCACAGCATGTCATTTGGTAATTTTTCACTTTCTTGGTAGCAGCTGTGGTATTTTCCCCAACTTGATCTTTTAACTCTGATATGTTTTCTGTCAAGCATCTAATTGTTCTCTTGTAAAAATATCTTTTGGTCTAGTGGCACGATATGCTTCTTTACATTCATGTGTTTCTTGAGTTCTGTTTACTGAAGCTTAGAGATTTGTCCAGGATCAACATCTAATATCTAATTGAGATATAGATCCTCTAAAGTTGTTTCAGTTGCCAATATCATAACTATGGAGCTTTTTTTCATTTTCTATACCAGGGACTTGGTATGCGGCAAGAACTGTCCCCAGATGGTGGTGAACGTATTGTTGTTGCGCGACCGGTCTTGAAAGGTTTGGAAGATGTTGAGGACGAGGACGAGGAAGGATTGGCTTGCATGGTTTGTCGTGAAGGCTACCGCTTGCGCCCTACAGACTTGCTTGGCGTATACACTTATAGTAAACGGGTTAACCTTGGTATTGGAAGCTCTGGAAATGCTCGTGGAGACTGTGTTTACACAACAGTCAGCCATTTCAACATCATACATTTTCAGTGCCATCAGGAGGCTAAACGGGCAGATGCAGCCTTAAAGAATCCTAAAAAAGAATGGGACGGAGCGGCCCTAAGAAACAACGAGACACTATGCAATAATCTATTCCCAGTGAGAGGTCCATCAGTACCAATGGGCCAATATATACGCTATGTTGATCAATACTGGGATTACCTCAATGCTCTTGGACGTGCTGATGGAAGTCGGCTCCGGTTGTTAACCTATGACATTGTTCTGGTGAGCTGCCATTTTTCGTTATTCCTTTCCATGTTTACATCTCTCAGCTCCTGCCCCCCCCCCCCTCTTTTTCCTTTTTTTTTTTTTTATCATTCCCTTTCTTTGTGGATGGGGTCTGAGGGATTAGTGGTTTTTTTTTGGACAATGAGATAGGTGAAGGTTCTTGCAATATAGACTGTTGATGCAAATACAAATCTTTTTTGGGTGACTTGCAGATGCTTGCTCGATTTGCAACTGGTGCTTCATTTAGTGCAGATTGCAGAGGTGGTGGAAAAGAGAGTAATGCTCGATTTTTGCCTTTCATGATGCAAATGGCTCGTCACCTTCTTGATCATGATTCTTCTCAGCGGCATATCATGATTAAGTCTATCTCAACTTATTTAAGTTCTCCCGCATCAGAATCCAGAGCCTCCACTACTGCTGGAACTCAGACTTCTGCTGGTACAGAGGAAACTGTCCAATTCATGATGGTTACCTCACTTCTTTCAGAATCCTATGAGTCGTGGTTGCAGCATCGCTCTTCCTTTTTACAACGAGGTATATACCATGCATATATCCAGCGGACTCACGGTAGGCCTGTGCCTCGTTCTTCACGCAATCTGTCTGGGGCTTTGAAACCAGAGTCGGGAAGTACAAGTGCATCTGCGTCTGAGGCTGGGGGGTCAGTTGAGTTATTCTCAACTATCCACCCGATGCTTGTCTACACTGGTTTGATAGAACAGATGCAGCGCTTTTTCAAGGTCAAAAAATTATCGAGTGTGACCATCTTGAGAACCCAAGGTACTTCTAAGAATGTCGAAGAGGATGATGAGAGCAGAAAGTTAGAAGGCTGGGAGGTCGTCATGAAAGATAGATTTTTAAATGTGAAGGAAATGGCAGATTTCTCCTCGAAACTATTATCGTGGCTTGATGACATGACATCGGCGACGAACTTCCAGGAGGCATTTGATATTCTTGGTGTTTTGGGCGATGTGCTTTCTGGGTTCAGTCGATGCGAGGATTATGTACATGCTGCAATCAGTGGTGGGAAAAACTGATCTATCATAAGTGTCGTGTTGATGTGTTCTCTGGCCTTCTGGGTTCAGTCAATGCGAGTATTATGTACATGCTTCACTCAGATGTGGGAAAAACTGCAGATTTGTCAGAGGCTGTTTCTTGGTTCGGTATTGTATTCCCAAGATTTTTGGTTTGAGTGTGTGTCAAATATCTTTTGTAGGTGCATCTCTTGTTCCTCCGTATACACAGATTGCTCGTATAGTAATTGGAATGATTTTGCGAGTGAACCCTCGAAGAGTCCCCCAGTTTTGTTTCCAACTTGCCATCATTCTTGATGCTGTGAATAATTGTCAATGCAAATATGCGATCTTCAATTAGTTCTTTTGTTTACTGCATCAGTGTACTAAATCTATTGATGTATGTCGCGAATGATTTACCCATCTAGACAGTTGCCTACCGTTTATTAGTCATTTGCATCGTGCGGGAATTAGTATTTTGATACGGTAAATATTAGTTATCATGACAGTAACAGCATTAAATGAACAACTAGCTTCACTGTTAGTTGAATTTATTTATCTTAAGAGCAATATGAAGCTTTGTAATTTAACTTCAGATGAGCATGTCCTATGTTCAGTCATGCAGCTAAAGCGAATGAAGATAATAATGACAGGAGTCCTCCCCTCCTAATTTGTGAAAATCATTGAAATAGGTGTAGAATACGTATAATAGACTGTCAAATTGACTTGATGAAGTCTGATCAAGAATTGAATCACCCCAATCGCAGATCCTTCCATTTTCAGAAGTTGCTTCCTGAACGAAGGTTAAACAGCTTGCAGCATATCAGCTCACGCCGCCATAACGCCAGCAACATCAGGACCACGATAGTCACTTATCACCATTGACATAGACGGATTACAATTCTTAGATGATAGCATGGATATTGGGATTGAAATAGGATGGGTTGACTCTTTATACCCAGGTCCTGCGCTGCTTCTGTTGCCCTCATAGGCAATGGTATCTACTCGACAATACTTTGCAATAGTGCTGCTTCTGTTGCCCTCATAGGCGATGGTATCTACTCGACAATACTTTGCAATAGTTCAATATATGGCCCTTCACTGTACACAACTCACCTCACCATGTCCATCATCATATGTTGCAATTTCAACTTGGATTTTTAGCTTTAGTTTGACCAAGTAAGACTGGATTCATAACTCAGTTACCATTTAAGGAGTGTTAATGGATGGATAGTAATGTAAGTTTACTATTATATGGGTTACCAAATATTGCCTACCTAGCGCATTATAATGGGATAACCTTGAGTGTAGCGTTCTTCATGTCCTTGAGAAAGTATATATGATCCTCCCTAAATCCTAAGTAAATGGACTGCAGTATTCTAGCAGCCAAGCGAGCAATAAGGAGACCCTTGCACAAGAAAAATAATGGCACTAGAGAGCATAAGCACAGAATTTGTAAGAAAACCGACATCCAAAGAACATGCAGCATAACTTAAAATCACCAATTTTAGCAAATAAAGTACCTATACTTGGGAAAAACAAATAAGATCCCATAGCCACTACAAAGTACCAAAACAACTGCTAGCAAAACCAACCCTCGCAAAAATAAAGATATAAAAAATATAAAAGAGAAGAAAAAAGCCTGGAGAATACCAGTAAAAAATAATAATTATAGACTATGAAAACACCGCTAGCAGCAATAGATGAATGTAAACATCCTCAGCCACAATACAATACAAGATGACGGCTGAAATTCAAGTGCAGATGACACTAGTACTAAGGTAGCAAATTGAACTCCAAATAACCAATCTGGATGATTAACAAAATCATGACACATCTGCCACAACTGGAGGTAGAGTGATTTAAGTTACTATACTACCATTCAGTAGAAACTGAAAAGATACAATGTTCCAATTGAACTTTACTGTTGAATATCATGTGTTTGCAACATAAACGAGCAAAAATGTGGAGTGGTTGCACAAGACAATCTAGCATGAGGTAAACTTACAGGAAAACTCTCACACCAGCCAAGAAGAATATTTTCCCTTTCTATCATTCTATTCTGGAATGCTTCACAAATTGCTGACTGGTCATCAATTCATTGCATCATAGTCATCTAACTTCTCGTTGTACTCCAAGACCTTTCTCCTAATCTTGGATGTATCTACCCACGTGATGAAGTCCTCCATATTTCTTGTCACAAGAAATGCTGGATCAGTAACTGTATCGGGTCCAACTCGAATATGACCCTGTTCTATATAAGTCACTGCTTCCTTCATGTGCTCGGCAAACTTCAGCCGCACCAAGATAGTGGAGAGCCTACGCCTGCAAATGAAGAGCACATCCATCTATTTAGCACCCATAACAATATCATGCAATAACACGATCCCANACACATCCGTCTATTTACCACCCATAATAATATCATGCAATAACACAACCCCATTTATGGGCAACTAACGGTGACTTGAAACTTTGTCTCAATCAGTAATCCGTAAAGAATTGCAGAATGATTGATTATGCTTGGAAGATATGTGGGCTAGAGCTTTTTCTCATCCACATAGAACTGCTTAATATGGAATATAGAACTCACTTACCGGCAGAAGGATGAAACTGATAAGTTCTCGCACACAGCTAAGCTTTTCCTCGTAGTTATTACACCCATGTTATACCTGAATTAAGGAGACATCTATTAGAATTTGTAATCACATGACATCTGTGGCAATAATAAAGACAGATTACTGAAATTGATTGAGAAAAGATCTTTATCAAAAGAAAAACCAAAAGCAATTTTTTTTTTTTGATAAGCTATCAAAAGCAATAAAATCTCATCTCTCAAACTAGAAAAGAGGGAGATGGGGAAACGTCTGTGCACATACATTATACTTCTAATTGTCATCTATACATTAAGCTCATATGATATAATACATAGAAACCAAGCAAAAGGAGGATCAGAGGCCGAGATATACAGTTCTCAACCGTTTCAGAAAAACACTACATGTTTGCCTAGTATCCGACGTTTATTTAATGAAAACAATAGTTTAATAGTTGGAGAATTTTTTTTAAGGTCTGCGTACACACTAACCGCCCAGACCCCACTAGTGGGATTACACTGGGTTGTTGTTGTTGTTGTAGCTACAAAAAATTAAGGTTTTCTTCGCTCCTACAACATTTTCTTCTCATCGTCCCACATTAACTATACATCCTAAACAAAATCATAGGTTTGAAGCAATTAGCCTACACAATAACAAGTTGATATCGCATCGCCAACTAGTATCATTTGGCAAATCCTCTCTCAGGCACCCCAAAATTTGAAACTTAACACACAAAGCAGAATAACATAAGGCTAAAGCACTGACAGTTTTTCTAGAAGGGCGTCAGTCATCTCAATCCGATAAGGATCTCTTGGGTCCATCTGCTTCAGTATATTCACCAGCTTCTGCGCCATTCTGCATAAACCCGAGTACCTAACATACACACACAAAAGAAAAAAAAACATAAATACATAAACAAGTAAAGAAATAGTTCTTTAAGCCACTAAAATGGAAATAGGAGAACAAAAAGACATACTTTTTGTAGTCGTCTCGGCCAGTAACGTGGTAGCGACGCATGACATTAGGTTCTCTGTGACCTCCTTCTCTCTTCCATTGTAGAAAGTCCACCTTCTTTAGGAGCTTCTGTTCATGAGCTTTTAGCTTCCTCATCTTTGGCTATCGGAAAGTTTGGCTATCGATTTCGACCAACGGCGGCTCTAGGGCAAGGCAAGTGAACCCTTGCTTTAAGCCCCAAATAAGTAAGGCCGCAGAAATAAAAAGTACTATTACATTATTATATAATATATACTCCATAATTTATATTTATATAATTATTAATAAAAGATTTCAAATTTTGATAATTTTTAATATTTGGTAGATGTAAGATCGAGTGAGTTAATTGGAAAAAAAATCTCTCACTAAATTAAATAATATATTTATCTTCTCATCAATTTTATTTTTCTTTCTTTATGTATAGTCTTTTTTCATGGTTCTTGCGATTTTACGTTTTAATTTCAACTCCAATTCTTTAAATTAATTATTTCTTTTGGTCATATATAATTGAACCACATACCAGAAAGCAAGTTCTTTTGTGTCTCATCTTTTTAACTCAGAAATCCCCGAGGCAAATGTCGCAAGGTTCAAAACATGATGAATAATGGGCTCACCCTTTGCCATTTTCACTTAAGGGAAAAATTCAATTCCATATGACGCGCGCCTAACTCATACATCATGAGTTGTGCTCCCACCACTTTATCAAAGTCATGTAGGTTTTTTTGTGTCTCAGTATTATATGAATTTTATAAAAGACGTTTCAGGGTCTTTTTAATATATTTTGGTTTAGGTCACCACTTTTGTTGAGCCGCCCCTCATTGACGATCAACAATTATTTACAGACTACTGCCCCACTATAAACGTACTGTTCAACCAGCTTCATTCACATTTGGTAACTGAATGACAAACTCGCTGCTTTTAATGCTCTTGTCATTGTTGCCTTATTTTAAGTGGGAAAAAACTTACCCGCACCGGGTGTATACACCCGGACATTAAACAATTAACACATCACTTTATTTAACTAGAATTATTAGTATTTAACTATAGTTAACTAGTTTTGAGATATATTAAATATAATAATATTCTACTAAAATACTTAATATTTCCACATCTCTGCGACGGTACATTTTTGTTTTTGTGCAACCAAGGCCACCATCGGCCATTACGCCATTACCAACATAATTTTTTTTTCCTTGTACTTGTTGTAGGTATAATTAGTTATACAGACATATTTTAGCTTTTATCTGGAAAAGAAATTTTTACTCCTGTTTTAATATCGTAGCTATATTTGTAATTTTTTTTATTACTGCATAGATATAACTAATAATATATGCTTACCTGAAAAATTTGTCTCCCATAATATAAATTTATGGTTGAGTTCTTACCAAAATACTTTGCATTACTTTCCAGTAACTATCATTGTAAAGGTAAATTCAATTTAATCGAGCAAAACACCATCATGCTTTATGAAAGATTCTTGCCATTTAAAAGTAGAAAATATAAAAGCTTAAATAAAATTTCTTTATGTTATGACTCTTAATCTGAATTAGTAAGCTATTGTTTCGGAATGCTCAAAGAATGAAGAAAGAAGGACTCTTAAACCTTACTCCTTTTACGTTGTATTTCTTTCTTTTTAATCTTTTTATTTATTTAAAATAAGGCTCTTAGATCTTAGTTGTCTTCTATGGTTAACTTAATTATATTGGGTGTAAACACCCGGTGCGGGTAAGTTTTTTCCTTTTAAGTGAGACTCTATAAATTTTATTGAGAATGTTAGGGGCGGATATGTGGCTCTAGTAGGAGACTAGTAAAGCCTTGATTTAGGTCCCCCAAAATTTTTAATAATAAATTT